CTCTGTGTGCACACAGTTGGCTGTATTTCATTTTGCCCTGGTGAGGTACAGGGTCTGCTCTCCCAAGTGTTGGAGGCGGTGAGGATCTGGGATGGGTCTCCCACACTTAGGACCACGGGGCCTGCTCTCCCACCCACCTCAGGCATTGAAAGGCAGGGATGCCTCACTGCCCTGCCCATGCCCATGCTGATACAAGACAGCTGAGAACTGGGGCCATCTCTCCCATACTCTCAACTTCGGGGCTGGCTTTCTCACACCTCTGCTAACAGGGTTGGCTCTAGTGTGCTGCTCCTGCGTAGTGCAGGGCGGGTTCTCCTGGGTGATGCTGCTGGTGGTGTCAGGGATAGCCCCTCCCACTCTTAGGACCACCAGGTCAACTCTCCCACCTGCCACAGGCCATGTTGCCACAGGCCAGATGAGAAATGGGGAGAGTTCTCCCATGCGCTCAACCTCGGGGCTGGATTGCTCATATCTGAGTGAAACAGGGATGGCTCTCTTGTGCTGTCCCAACAAGGGCCAGGGCCTGCTCTCCCGGGTGTTGCAGCTGGTGGGGGTCAAGGACAGTTCTCCTGCTCTTAAAGCCACAGGGTCAACTCTCCCACCTGCCCAGACATTGATGCCTCACCCACACCTGCACTAACAGGCTTGGCTCTGTTGCGCTGCCCTGGCAGGGTGCAGGTGTTTTTATTTTTCCAAATTATCCTGCTTGCAAAGCTGGGCCCGTGGTTAAGAGAACTTGTTGCTCTTATAGAACACCCGAGTGTGATGTCCTGTACCCACATGTCAACTTATACCTGTTCATACCTCCAGTTCCGGTGCATGTGATGTACTCTTCTGACCTCTGAGGGCACCAGGCACACACACACACACACACACACACACACACACACACACACACACACACACAGTGAACAAACATGTAGGTATCTGGCCCCCTTCATGTTTCCTCTCTGCTCACCCCATTTCACTTTGAAATTTTCTTTATTCATTGAGCACAAAACTATGTGCCTCTCCCAACACTGTACTACTGCGTAATTTTTCATTTTTGTCTTAAAATATAGTGCACGTGAGTGCAGTTGCCCATGGAGGGAATTGGACACAGTGAATTGCTTATTTTGTCTCCACAAAAGAGGAGGGATGGGAATGTCACGTGTCCCCCTTTGTTCTCAAAGAGCACAATATAGGAACCAGATGCACACATTAAATTAGGCTTTATTTAGAATATTTCAGAAGAATACACCAAGGACAGATTAACAGCACCTATTTAAGAAACACAAACATTTAGTAATAGTTAAATCACAAAAGTTAATCTCACTGCCTTCCCCAAGCAGGAGTCTGTTATTCCTGTCCAGTGATAAATGCATCATAACCAGTTTAGAAAGCATTCAATTAAAACCATCCAATCTATGAAAGCTTGACTTTGGGCAGAGTCTCTGAGACTACTGGCCCATGGAACAATATCAATTCATAAATTTGATTGGAGTGTGAGGGGATTTCTCTTCTTGCTGGAAAGTGGAAAATAAATTCCACCCTATTTGCGCACCTGAAGGTAAGTTGTGCCAGTGGGAACTTGGTCCCAGGACTGTAGTTTTGAAAATCCTTTGAAAAGGCACTTTTAAATTACAAACCCCTTTTAAAGGAAACTTTTAAATTTAAAGTGGAAAGTATTAAAGAGAATTGTTTTATTGACTGAGTGCAATTTTCCTATTGTTCTCAGTCTCAAAATAGCACATGAAATTTGGTATTAAAGGCAGTTTTAGAAATGATTTAATGAGTGTGTATATATGTGTATATATATCCTCTTGTAATACTTTTGTTCTCAAAATATAATAAAATACTATTATTTCTTTTGTAAATATATTTGCTCTACAACTGTAACTCTTCAAACACCTGAGCTGCAATCCCTGCCCCCACCCCGAGAAATCTCACTGTCTCTTTGGCAATACTGCATCATGTCTGAGACAGCCAAAGTGGGTAAAAACCATAGCAGTCCTTTTCTGGGTTTTGGCACTGATCTAGGAGGGCAGGGATGGTCACAATATAGATCAGTTAAGTACAAGTCCAATAACTTCCAAACAGGAACTGGTTCCTGTTTAAGTCTTGACACTGCAGTGTTCTTTTCATCTGCTCTCAGGACTCCAATAGCCTGTCCTGGGGTTCTTGCTCTTTTCTGGGGAAAGGACTGTCTTCTTTGACTTTGTATTCTATTATTCTATACACTGACGCAAACAGGTATACCCGTGCCAGGTGTATTGTGGAGAACTGCCAGCGTGGACTTCAGCCAAGATGATAATTTGATTCACATCAATTACCGCTTGTACCAAAATACGTTCCTGCTTGTCACGTACCAGGGATTTAAGGAATGAAGAGGCACCTCTTTCTGCTGCACCGTCTTGGAGCCGTCTTCCATATCCTGTAGTATACACTTTCAAAGGTAAAGGAATGTACTATGTTCTACTTCAAAAGTTGTGGCTAGAGTAGTGCATGCATTTTGTTAACTAACTTCACATGAACACATCACTCACTTTTCACTAATGACACTAGCTAAGAACACATACAATCTACTATCTAGCACCTCAACTCCAAGAACACATTTTATTTACAGTTAGAGCTTACATCTAGAAGAAGTACCACAAAAGAACACAGCACTAACACAAGACAAAAGTACCGATTTTTCACAAAGTTGTAACAAATGAAGAGGGGAAATCCACTCAAGTTTGAAGCATCAAACCAAAACCATTCTTGTTTTTGTCTCCTTAAGAGCAAAAGAAATACAGCAATTAATCTTCACACAGCAAACCTCCTTACTTGTACAAGTTGCTGTGGTTTCCCCTTAATGTGTATACTCTAAAGATATGGAGGCTTTGGGAGGCAGTGATGGAAACCTAACTCCTATTGGTAACCGTCATGTTTGTTGAGGATTCTTACCCTACTTACCAAAAAGCAGTGAACTTGCCAGTGACCTTGCAGTGGCCAAGTTCAGTGTATTTGAGTTTTCCTGTTTCTTCCTCTTACCAGTTTTTTTTCCTTATAGCCTAAGTGTGTTAATACACATGTTAAACATTTGCTATCAAGGAAGATGTCATATGTAGTTAGAAAGGTGTCCTTTCTTCCAGGGTTTTAGGCTCTAGTCTGTTGTTTCCAGCTCATGCTTCTGCCCTCTCATGCCTAAGCTTGGGAGTGGTTTGGGGGGCTGTTGGAAAGGCTGGAAGAGGAGTGGGTGAGTGTACACCTTCAACACGGGAAGTTTGTCATAGCTGATGCTTTCCATATCTCAGAAGAGATTTGTCACGTCACAGAACTCGCAGAAACCCAACGGCTGTTCCTTAGTACTGCCTTCTAAACCTTGTTGAAATTGGTGTGTTAGAGCACCTGTGACTCCTCTGCAAAGTAGATGCCCTATTATTCTTAAATAAGGAAATCATTAAATTTAAGACACATCATTTCCAAGTCCAGAACCTTTTGCTACTGCACTTATGTAATGATTTGATAAAAGAACACATCCTTTAAAAACATTTTGGGAGAGTGATTGTGCATGATTATCTGTGAGGCTAATGATGACTTTTTGTGCGATTTCATATTTTAAATGGCAAAACAACATGTAGAATAAAAACTCATTAAGTTGTTAGCTCTTTATTCAAAACAGCACAAAACTTGAGGCGGTTGCTATCTCCGTGCTACCCAAAAGCCCTATTGTGCATTAAAAGAAAATGTCATCAAGACAGAATGCTTTTAATTCAAGGGTTGTCCTTTTCACACTGTTTTCAAAAGGTCTTCACCTTTAAAGAATCCAATTTGCCAAATTATGGACAGCAAAGAAAAGAGGGAAATTTAGATTGTGTTAGGAGCAGGTGAGTCTCAGCATCCTGGAAGATGTGTGTGCTTTCAAATGAACTTACCACACTTGGACAGGTTCTGGTTCCATTTGGATTTTGGATTTGGGCAAACAGTTTTCTTTGTTACACTTTGAAGGGGTTGAGCTTTAAAAATAAAATAGAAAGTTCAGTTGCAACAAAATGTTAGAAACACATTTGAAATCCTGTTTTCTATGGCGGCGTTTCTAGCAATAGGCTAGGCATTGCCACCTTTCAATGCCTGTTTCAAACCTGTAAGGAAATACCTCTTGCCTCGCAAGAAAACTGATCAAATAAGCCACTTCACCCAGGTATCTTTTAAGCTTAGCGATGAATCACTGTCAGTCACAACCCATGTAGACACCTAGGGTAGGGGAGGATGGAGAAAGAGAGGAGAGAGAGAGAAAGAAAAAGAAACACACAATTGTTTAGCTCCATGGCTACGTCTTATTTCTCCGCTTCTTCTTTTGGACCAACTCCCCATTTCCTGTGTGCATTTTTCTGGATCCCTTTAGAGGACCCAGAAGCTTTCTTTATATACTAACTGCATAATTCCCCTTTGTTGAAGTTTGCCTTATAGTCTTTGCACTGTACCGTGGGGCTCTTCAGTCCAGAAATCAGCTCATACGATGATCTGTCCACCTAGCTCTGCTTTGGGGGCTCCCAAAGTGATTTGATCAATTGTTTTTTCTGTCAGTTGAACACAATATGTAGCCCCAGTCCATGAGTTATGACCTGAAGGTCAAATATTCCTTCTGTCCACAGGCGCCACTTGCCCTTTTACGCCGAGCTAAAGTTGCCATGTTGTAGCTCTGGAGAGGCAGGCAAAATAAACACCACGAACAGTCCCACACCAGACAGCCCTTGTTTTAGGAAATTTAGAGCCTAATATGTTATATACATATATGTTTGGTAGGAATCCTCAATTCCAATCTTCGATGGGCTTATACCTTTCAGGAAAGAGTCAAGTCTCTACTTCTTCCTTACCTTTCTTTACCTGCCTCGTGGTGGGAAGGGATGTGTGCGCAACACCTTTGCCTGAAATGGTAAAAACTGCCACTAATGAGACTGGGGGTGGTGCACTGAAAAGAAAGCGGCTTTTGTTTTTGTTTTGTGGACACTTAAACGCTTGCCTTAGAACCAACTTTAAGCAGAATCATAGGAGGGGACAATCTTGTCTTCAATCCCTCCCTCTATGCCAGCTTCGGTCTCATGCAGGTCACGGCGGCTGACTTCTGTAAAGGGCCTATTCTTACGGAGTAGCTTCCTCACTACCTCGTTGATTTCCTTCTTGATGCTCTGGTTCATGTAGCCATAGACATAAGGGTGGATGCAACACTGCAGGAAAAAAAGCCAGATGATTATGGTGATCGCCCACTGGGGTACCTTGGTTTGGACATCCACCCACACAGCCAGCACAGCAATGAAGCAATAGGGCCCCAGCGATATCATATAGGAGGAAATGATGAGGAAGATCACTCTGGCAGCTTTGCACTGATAGCACGGGGGCAAAGGTGGGTTGGAGTTGCTGTTTCGACGACTGGCTTGAAGGCTCTCCTGGATGTTCACTGCCTTGGCATCATCTTCACTGAAATGGGTTTCATCCATGCCAGCTTCTATGTCATCTTCGCCCAAGTCAATATTGCACTGATTGCTCTCTGTGTGGCCCCTGCTGCCTATTAGAAATTCGCTGCTGGTTCCCAGCCCCTCCGTGCTGCCATTACTGACCTCTTCACTGCCCTTGGACTCAGAAATACCTGCACGTAAATATAGGCTTCTTTCTTTGGTCTTCTTGACAATGCCACTGGCTTCCATGGGACCCTCTTCCACCTTAGTCTTGGCCTGACCTCCATCTTCGCTCTGGAACTCATTCTCATCCTGGAACTCATCCCTCTTCTTTATTCCCCGTCTATTCTCAGTCTTCACAGAGTCCTTGGCTCTCACCCCCAAGCTGCGGCTCTTGGTGTTGTTGTACAGGAGAGCATGCTGCCGACGGGCTACACCAAACACTGCAGAGTAGCAGCCAATCATAACAGCCAGTGGAACAATGATGAAGGACGCCACACTGATTATGGTATAGACGGGGCTGCCTCCCCAGATCATGGAACAGAGAGCATTGCGCTCATCAAAAGTAGCCTGGCCCCAGTTGTAGAGAGGAGGTGTGCTTTGCAGTATAGCCAGAAACCAGGTGCCTTGGAGGAGCTTATGAGCACGTCGGTTGGTCATCATTGATGGGTAGGAAAGAGGGTGGAGGATGCACAGGTAGCGATCTACTGACACCACCATAATGGTATTGACACTAGCGAAGGCAAATAAGTGAGTGAGGCTAACCAGGGCTGTGCAGAACTCGCTGTTGAGTGGCCAGAAGGCAGGAATGGAGGTGGCTATCACCCAGGGAGCCACGATAGTAATCTGCAGCAGGTCAGTGATCAGGAGGTTGAAGACGAACCGGTTGCTCACCTGCATTAACTGTGGCTTATGGTTCAGTACATACCCAAGCACTACATTGCCCACAAAGGATACAGCTAGGAAGGCAAACAGCACAGTGGCTCGGATGATGCCGTGAGCTAGACTAATTGGCATCTTGGAGAGGGGCATGCACGCTTGGCTGCTGTTGTCCTCTCGGGTGCTGTTGGTGCAGGTGGGTGTCATGGTGATGGTGGGCAGGCGGGAGACAAGGTACAGCTCAGTTTCTGCACCAGTGGGCATCCAGATGCACAGACTGCACACTATCTATGCTGAGAAGGAGAGAAACAGGTGGGAGGGTTAGTGCCCTGCAGAGACAAGCCTCTGAGCCCAGCAGCATCGCTGCAGGGCCCCTCCCTGAGACCCCTGTGCACTCTCAACCCCAATCAGAGCAGTTTCTCCAGCTCCTTTTCTAACTCTTGGGGTCTTGCTGCCAGTCTGTCTTGCATTCTCTTCCTCTTGCTTGTCCTTCCCGTTAGTTCCGTGGGCACTCCCTCAGCCTGTCTCCTCCATGTCTCTTGGAGATCTGTTCTCTTTAGATGACGCATGCACTTGCACTCTGTATCTGCCTGCTTGTGACTCTAGATTTCTGTCTCCAGTGTTTTACTCGGGGCACTTTTCCTCTATCACAGAGTGCATGCCCCTATTTCCAGGGACTTTGTCTCATCCTTCACTCCATATTCTTTTTTTTTTTTTCAGTTTCCCACCAGCATATACAAAGTCTACCTATGTCTGGCTGTCCCTGTCCTCTGTCTGATATTCGTCTCTCCTCCCACTGTCAGCTCTCTGTCTCTCAGGCTCTGCGTCGTTTTTTTTTTTCCACTAGGGAACTTGCTTTGTAGCTGTGTGTGTGTGTGTGTGTGTGTGTGTGTGCGTGCGTGCGCGCGCGCGCGCAGGCGCACGAGCGGGCGCACGCGCCTCTTCTCCCTGGGTCTTTTTCTCTTGGTGAATTTCCCTGATCGTCCCTTTGGGCTCCTAACACACCTGTTTGGTATCTCTGACTCTTGAGTCCGTGGTTCTCTCAGACTTATGTGTCTCAAGTCTCACAACAGCGCTCTTCCTCATATTTCTCTGTAACTCTCCTTAGTTTCCTTTACTGGGTTTCTAAGTACCAAAGTTCTATGTCTTGCCACACCTGTCCCTCCTCCCTCTTGTTCCCTAACACTCTGGTTAGGTCTCTGTTTTTCAAACGATGCCTCTAGGTGTGTACTCTAGTGTATTCCAGTTCATCCCTGCCTTTCATTCTCACCAACCCAGTACCATTCAGTCAAACTCTTTCTCTGCTTCTTTGAATATGCGCACATCACTATCGCTCAGCATCCTTCTCTGGGAGCCCCTCCACTCAGTTTTCCTCTACCTGGATCTTTGTCTCCATGTACCTCTCTGCTGTCTTTATCTTGCAATGGAAACCAGCTGCCCCCTTGGCCGCCAGAGCTTTGTCAAATAAAATGCGTAGTTTCTCAATGCGCAGTGGTGGCTGGAGCATGCAAGGTGGATACCTATTACACTACTTCATGCCGCAAATTCTCCATCCTCCCTATATTTTCCAGCCGGCTAGGAGTCTGAACCGCAGGGTGGTGGGGGTGAGAGGAGCGAGCTGGGGAGATTGAAGAACAGGTAAAGAGATAGGGGTGCGCAAGGACCGGGTCGGGGGGGGGGGGGCTGAGAGGG